GCTAAAGGCAATTGAGAATGAACAGATGCAGGAAGAGTTTTCTGCCTAATAAATTTCCCTGTGAGGGAGGTCCCCTCCAGCTCTCCAATCCCCACTGAGGAAAAAAAGAAAGCGCTATTCCTCAGCAATTTTGCAATTTATGTTCCTGGAAGTTCAACCTGTCTTTCATTTGTTAAGAAGGGTTTATAAGCTCCTGAGTCTAATGGCTTCTTTGAATTTTAATTCTTTTCTTTAATTCTTTTCTGAACTCCCATACAAGTAAATATTAATAAAATTTGTGTGTCTTTCCTCCTGTGAATTTGTCTTTTGTTAGTTTAATTCATTAATTGAAGAAAAGTTTTTTCTCATTGACAATAAATTCAGTAACTTATAAACTAATTAAATTGTGAGTTTAAAAAGTTGAGTTATAGGCTGAATAAGAAATAAAGAGTGGTTTAGATAAATTTGATGACAAAAAAATATATTGGGTTACTAAAGGAAACTAATAATAGCTTGTATTATGTGTCAGATACTGTATGAAATACTTGATAAACATCTCATTTATTTCCAACAACTACTAGATTTTATTCCCACTTACAGAAAGAAGACCAAAGCTGAAAGAAGGTGCATGATTTGCCCTTAATCACATGGTAACTGTCTAAACAGGTGACGCCTATGTTATTGCCAACCTTATGCTACTCAAGGTTGTGGGGGTATATTTCTTCCTTTTTTGAAGGTAATGATGCATGGCATATCAAGCTGAACCAATCAATGTGCCAATTTTAAATTTCTGTTCTAAAGAGGGAATATAGTGGGTGTAGGAGAGGAAAAATCATTCCTTAACCTTCTTAGGGTTCCTGGCTAAGTCTGAAAACTAAACTGACATAGATTTACAGGAGGAAAACATACCAATTGTTTTTAAAAATGACTAAAGAAGACAGTTTAGGTGATGGTTACAACCTTTAACACTTCATGAAGTGGACAGTGTCTATTTGGAGAGCTGCAAAATGGGGTGGAAGACGGGATTCTTTATAGAATAAAGAATAAAGAATAAAGAACAATGAAGTCAATACACAGCCCAGAGTTGGCTTGGCATTTGAGGATTGGCTGACTGCACATACTGTGTTTATGGTAAAGGGGCATATCTACAGGGGACATGAAAATTTTCTTGAGTTTCAGTTTGCTGATGGGGCACTCCAGGCAGGAGTGTCTCAATCTTGGGCCTAGAAATTTATTTCAACACATTTAAGTTTTATGTGACATAGGAGTCTTCATTACGAAATGAAGATCCAAAGAAATAGACTGGTGTATTTTTATGCTGGGTTTGATGAAGAGTGGACAATTGTGGAGGAATATTACAGGTTAAGCAGTGTGACCTAAGTGTACTTAACTGGGGGAAACATGGCAAGGCCTGTTTGTTAGGCTTCTTCGTGGTGTCCTTTCGTCTTCTGGGATAAGGATGCTTCTTTTCTCCTTGGGAACCTCTCACCTGAGTCTTTTATGACCTGTTTTAGGAAAGAAGAAAGTGGGTTTGTAAAAGAAAAGACTAATTCCAGCACAATCCTGTTTCTGTTATTTTTTCAAACTTCTTCAGCTTAAAATAGTCAATGTGCCAAGGTGCTATATTTTGGGTTAGTTTGTCCTGAACTCTATCATGGGCATTAATGGTGAGGAATGAGAAGTATCTTTATTTCTTTAAATTCTATGTTTTTTTTCTTTTTTTATTTGAGAGAAGGGCGAGCATCTAGGAAATTAATTTAACAAATAAGCATATCTTCCACTTGCCAGGGATTATAAAATGCCCCTCTTCTACATTTATTTTTTAGTGTTGGATTTTCTCCACTTAAAATTGAGGAGATGGATAAAGTTCTGTTTTGCTTTAAAAATCTAAAAATCCTCTTCATTTTAGGAGAAATCATCTTTTTCTCCCAACTAGACCTTAAGTGGCATACAGAATTGTGGTGGGACGGGGGTGGGATATATGTGGTGGTTCACATCCAAAATTGGTGGTAGTTAGAGAAAAGGTTTTGTTTCCCGCCCTCCCCCCCCCACTAAATCCTATCCATATTTGCATAAAAATGTGATCACACATGCTTACTTGCTTGGCTACTTGTAAATACACACATTCCAATGATACTAACACCTCTAGTGGTAAAGACCATCTCTTCCTTCACAATTCAACAATTCATTGCACAATGCGGGACTCAGAAGTTTGAAGACTTCTTATTCAGTGTTCAGTTGAATCAGAATTATATTAGCTTACTTTCTATTTTATTTGCTTTAATTGCTTCCAAACAGTTAATTTCCTTTCAAATCCTGACGTTTCCTTATTTAGGTAAGTTTGCAGGGGGAGGGCTTCAATTTCTCCTTACCAGATAGAATGCATTTCCTTCTCACCTCTTTAAGCTAAAGTCTTTCAGTGTTATGCAGAGTAATTATTTAGCCTCCATTCACAAGAACTATTTGGTTTGTAAAAGAAAAGACTAATTCCAGCACAATCATTAAATGAAAATGAGAAAGTTTAGCAAAAAAAGAAAAGTCAGTTGTAGATTTTCTAGGAATCACAAATTGTTTTGCTCTGTTTAGATAAGTTCTTCCCAAGCTGATTTCAGTCTACGGCAATGATTTTTTTATGAATGGAGGTTTTCTAATACTTCACTTTACTGTTGATATATATTTTTATCCTGAAATTTTCTTTGGAAAGTTGCCTAGTCCCTGGAAGACTGGTCTGTCTTGGGAAGAAACGAACTTGAAAAGAATTACTGAGAAATGTAGGGTATAAGCCTCTATAAAAAAAGGGTTAAACTACTGACCCATAATCAATAAGGCATGCTCTGTGATAAGAGCATTCTTAGGCTAGATTTATATCAGACATTGAACAAATTATACATCATATCTTATCCCTTAACATCGTCTAAACGTATAACTTTAAGTAGATGTAGGAGCCGGTGGTCTAGAAAATACAAAAATTCTTTAGAGGTGAGATGTAACTATGTGCATTGGTAGTGATCCTGCTCCACTTCTAATGGGGCTGAAATGGCCAGATACCCATTAGGTATGCAAATTCCATAGGCTATTGGAAAAACACAGTCTGGCATCTGGGTTCTTTATCCTTGGAATATATAACAAGCCTTCTTTAGACATTTAGCAGTGATAATTCTCCCATGGAACTCATGGAAGCACATGAGTAACGTCTCTTGACGTGAATGCCACATAATCTGAAAGTTATCCATACGTACAACTATTTTTTATTAGTGCTAGGATATTCAGCTTAGGCTCAATATATCTATTCTAAGCCTCTGCAAGAAAGCTTTAAACTTAGACATGCCACAAATCTAGGTTTGAATTAAATGACTAATGCTTTAGTTTTTACCACTAGTTCTCTGCCAGAACCTTTTCAATTCATTCTTAGCCAAAGCCAGTCATCCATCCTGGCAACATACCCTTTCACCGCCCCACACCTTACATCTTTCCTTTTCCAGTCCTTTGGCTGCCCTCTGGTTTCTTCACTGGCATACTTGTCTGACTGGTTCCTAGAAGCCTGGAAGAGATTTTTCTCTTCTATAAATCTGGCTACCGCTAATTAAGAGCCTGGAGTCCAAACACTCCTCTCTCAATGCAAACCTAAACGGATCTAATTTATAAACAAAGAGAACACTTCTATTTTTTTCTGTCAAAACAACCCATGCATTGGCTTTTAAAGGAGAGACTAAAGATGGGTTGACAAAGAAATACCTGGATAGAACAGAGGTCAGGAAAAGTCACGAGGTAAATATAGTTACCAGACTACGATAACAACAGAAAAAGCATCAACTCTAGTTATTAATCCACAAGGTGTCCCCTGGTCCCTTCTGTAAGGGTTAATGAGGGCAGTTATCTTTGTTCTGTGCACTGATGTAATCCAAGCTTCCAAAAACAGTGAGAGACACATAGTAGGTGCTCTATAAATATTTGCTAAATGTCCAAAGTCTAAGATAATTAGAAACTGATGACAAAGGCTATTGCCTTATCAAACGTTTAATATTCCCAAATACCGCCCCATTGTTCTTTCGATACCCTTGCCTTCCCCCTTTTTGTCGTTCTAATTCTTTTACATGCGCATTTAAACCTAAGAACACACAAGCACACAAAATCCCTGACATTACAGACTTAAAAGTGTTACTCGAAGCAAGTTATATTAGATTGCTTTTAGAGGAATGTCAACTCCTAATGGGTTCACTGTTTCTGTTGCAGCATTCTTTCCCGCCTTCTTGGAGTTGAGGTGAGAGATTAAACAATCAAAATTCTTTTTCCTCAGTCTTTTTTTCCTTTCCTGTTCTTTCCTCGGCTTTCTTTCTTTTCCCAGTCTATCGTGTCTCTGGGGTCGTTGCTTTGCTCTTTCTCCCTCTCCTCCTGTTGGTCCCTTTGATCCTTTCTTTCTATGCCTTATTCCCAGAAGCTCCAGAAAATACCTTCTTTTTTCTCCTTTTCACGTCACTTCCCTCCCTTCTCCCATCTCCCTCTCCTCTATGAGAGGTGAGTTCCCCACTAGAGGCCAGCACTTTCTCAGTTTCGTCCCTCCAACCGGCGAGCAGAACTCGGAGAGAAAGAAGGGGAAAAAAAAGAGGAGAAAGGGAGAGAGAGACTGGGAAAAAAAAACAACCCCGGGGCCTAGAGCGCAGAGGCCCGGGAGCGGCGTCGTCATGGCAACGGGCGCCGGCAGGAAACGAGGGACGCGCGGAGGGAGGGGGAGGAGGGCGCCGAGGGGAGGGGGACAAGTCACTTTAACTTAATGAATCTTAGACCCCGCACTGTAAAATGAAGATAATCATAGTATACCTGTACTCTCAAATTAAAAAAAAAAATTCTGAAAACTATATCAAAATATCTTTCAAGCTATGAAGTGCAGTTGAAGTGTTAGTTGCTTTTCTCTCTCTACAACTCTTCAGGAAAGAAGCCCAGGTGATGTAAGACTTTCCTCAGAGATAATTTTGCCGCCTTATTCCTGAGGCTGTAGATAAAGGGGTTCAGCATGGCAGTGACCGCCGCGGAGGCCGAGAGAGCCCCCCGCCCAGCCCGGCGACCGGGGGACCCCGGCACATGAGGTGGACGCCCCCCGGGAGCACTTGGGTGCTGAGCCAGGCGCGAAGGTAACCCGGCGACCGCGGGCTGGGGAGGGGCAGGACCTCTGGGGGCTTGGCTGCGCGGGGAGGTTTCTCCAGCCACCTCGGTCTGTGCAACGCCCCAGGTACCTCCCCCAGTTTCTTTCCCTGCCTACCTCTAGCGCTTAGCTCTGCGGTCCTTCGGCTCTGCCTGTCCAAGACTTCTTGCTATTCATGTCGCTGTGCTTAATGCTGTCTGTCCGTCACCCTAGTTGCTTCTGACTGCTCATTTTCTCATTCATTTTTTCTTCTCAGACTTTGGCTCTCCCATCTAAGCATGCTGTCTAGTTATCTCCTTGCTTTATATGGTCCGCTGGGTTCCTCAGCCTCCAATTCCTTGACTTCTGTCTGTCTCTTTTGCCTGTCTCCCCACTATCAGTAAGCACATTTCCCTGCTAAGTTGGGTCAGTTCACTTCTGGTACTACTCTTTCTGCCCCTTACCCCGGTGTATTTGATTTGTCTTTGGAACCTCATTTTCATTAAGGTTCTATATACAACAAGGACCCGTGGGCGTCTACTATTCCTATACTCCAGATTACTTCCATTTCTTTGGCACAGACTTCCCCGAACCACCCCCTTCTCCCGCCTTCTTCCCATGCCCCATCCTTTCTACAAGACACAGTTTTATGCCTAGGGAAATTGATTTCTTCCAACTCTTGGCTCTGTAGGCCCAGTAATAGTTCCACTTCAATATCCTTTCCTACCTGCCTTCCAGGGGGTCTGTGCTCCTACTCACCCAAACCCATACACACCCAAATGCTACCTTTCAAGACGACAATGGTTTAGCTATTGTGGAGATTTCTATGGATCCGCTTCTCACTCTTTCTTCCCGTTTAATTCTGAAAACTTGAATTCACTGTGCCTCCCAAACTTTTTGTTGTCTTCATTTTCTGTACTTAATTTTACAAAGTTCCAACTTTGATCATGAACAAATAGATTTATGTTCCTGGGATCCAGAAATCTTGGTTTTGATGACAGTTTCCCTGGATTTTATTAAAGACTTTAACCTTGTCCCTTTCTATCTCTGTATCCATTTCACAATCTGAAAAAAATATTAAGAAGGCTTCCATTTTGGGGGAGATGAGGGGTTCATTTAATTAGCATTTCTACCTATTAATGTAGGAATTAATGCCCCCTCTAGCTAGTAAAGGGGTCTCATGTCTCTGAGTCCAGTGAACTAAGTCCAGTGATCTATACAACTGTGAGTGCTGCCTCTAATCCTTACCCACTTTTTTTCTTCACATGCTGATAATGAGGATTCATGGGTCTGTATCTGTTTAGTGCTTTGATATTTTGGCAAAAGATGTGGGGAGAAGGTAGACTAGAGTTGAAACTGATATGATTTCTCCAATGCACTTGGGTTACATCCATGTTTGCACTGACATTTGCTATTCCTAAATAAAACTGAAGAGATGGGTAGTTCTTGGGGGATAATGATGCAATCAGATGATACTGGGAATGTAATAACAAGAAATGTCCCCAACTCTATTTCTAATGCTAGCCGGTTTGATTTTACTTACTTTGCTTGTTTTGGATGCAGTCATTAAGATAAATCCACTGTAATAAAACTGTTGACAGCCTTTAACAGAAATTCTGGTTTGATATTTGCATTCCTAAACCACGTAGTGGTTTGCAGACCTATTTCTGTGCCTCAAAAGCACAGAATATAGCGTTTAGGTTTAACAAAAGAAAGAAAAAAAAAAGAATGAACAAAAAAAAAACTATTGTCATTTAGTGCTGCTTTAAAGGTACATGTCTTCTTGCTTCTCTTCTCCTATTTCTTTGCTTGGTTCTTACCAGTGTTTTCAAATGTCATTTTGCAAATTTTAGTCTAGACCCCAGAAGGTCAATTGTGACCACTTTAGTGGACTAAAAAATTGAATCTGTTTTTCTCAAATATTTTCATTGCTGTATATTTAATATGTTTAATACCTGGGAGTCATTTGTTAAAGCGATATATTACATTCAGTTGTGAAGCCTTCTTTGCAGATGAGGAAACTGAAGTGTAAGAAGAGAAAGTGACATGCCCAAGGTGTTGTTGTTAGCCTGAGCTTGAACCAGATAGCTCTTTGGGCTATATGTGGGCTGTAGACTAGCTCTTCTATCTCCTAGTTTTATGACTGCTCATGATGTGTTTAACCTGTGTGTATCTTAGGGCCCTCCTCCATAAACTGAGGACAGTGCATACTCAAACTGAGTGACACTGCCTTAATCATAGATTTTTTTCTGATTTGAAGAAGCATGTGCTAGTGTAGACTTGATACTTAGTAGGACAGCTCCTTTAATCTCAGAAAACCTCACTTCCGTAATTGTAAAGTGGGGATAATAATATTTACCTTAAAGCACTGTGAGAGATAATGAAGGTGAAGAGCCTGACTCAGTGAGAGGAGGCACCTAGTGGCTTCTCAGTAAATGGTGACTGATGTTAAGATGATACTGATAAGGATGTTGCAGATGCAGATAAAAATGAGATAACAATAAGTTTTAAACAGGAAGATTTTAAACTGTTCAAAAGCGTTAGGGGAATGTAAACTGGCCTTAGTATTGTGAGATGCTATCTTACATCCTGGCCATTTTATATTTAATAACAGCTATGAGGGAATGTGTAAAGGTTGTTTCTTTTGAGACACTGCATAGCTTCAAAAGATGGTGTGGGGAAGAGTGTACTGCAGATTTGGTAGTTATAAAACCTGAGAAATCGTGGATTATGGATGAAGAGGAAGATTCTTAGATTACATGAATAATAATATGAAATAATAGTTTGAGATCAGGTGTAAATTTTAATCATTTGCTACTTCCATCTAGGTCTTGAGTTAGAGCACCAGCCTTGGGAACCCTGGACCACTATCATGGAGACTGAGAGCGAGCAGAACTCTAACTCCACCAATGGGAGTTCCAGCTCTGGGGGCAGCTCTCGGCCCCAGATAGCTCAGATGTCACTATATGAACGGCAAGCAGTGCAGGTGAGGTTCAGCTCTGAGGGGCTGTGATCTGTGAGTATTGGCTTGGGGAAGGCATGGATGCCAGAAGATAATCGCCCTTAGTTCCTTTCCAGAAAACTGGGGGAGTTGGATTAGGTGATGACTAAGGTCCCTTCTAGCTCTGAGAATCTTAGGAGTTTACAACAGTTTGAGCAAGCAAACAGAGACTGAGATTCAGTCTTTAAGGTTTTTTTGTACTGTTCAGTTCATGTAGCTAGATTCTAACTAACCATTTCTCTTCATGGATTCTCAGGTTTTTAATCTTTGGTCTTTTAAAAATTACCTTGAGTAAGAGAAGTATAAAACTCTTTAGAGTTTTATTTTTAGACAAATGGTAAATTTCATGATTTTAAAAATTTGCTTGGGAATGGAGTCCTTTACTTAAAGTATTTTGGTTACTAGAATAACTATGCATATCATAAATAGTTTTAACTATTAAAGAATAAGAATATAGTAATATCCTAAAGTTAACACTTAAAACTAAATTACCAATATTGTTTAAGAAGCATCTATTAGCATTATATTGTAGATGTTTGAAAATGGCAGTTATTTGAAAATTTTACATGTTAGAATCTTTCATAAGCCACTTATTCAAGTTTTTCATCATTTTCAACCCCTTAGGGCTTTATCACCTCTGTCGTATCTCTAGAATATGGCCTTTTATTTTCTTCTTCTCTTCACATTTATCAACATTCCATTTATTTTTGACCCATCTATCCTCAGTTCTTTTCTTTGCCGTGTCATGTATTTTTAGATTTCATTTTGGGAAATAAGTGTTCATGTGAGTTACACTGCTTTACTTTTCTTTATATATAGAGCATAGCAGAATTAACTGCTTCTCCACTTTTTGAGGACTATATGAACTTACTGGTTCTCATATAAACAAAGTGGACAAATCAGAAGTTGATGGTTTAGCCAAACTCCCATCTTCCTTTGTCTCCTTGCCCTGTGTCCTGTCACAGGATCACAGTGATTTGCATAGAATAGGAGTTAGGAGTGATTCATTCTAAGTGAGTTGATCTTTTCTTTCTTCTCCTAGGCTCTGCAGGCACTGCAGCGTCAGCCCAACGCGGCTCAGTATTTCCACCAGTTCATGCTCCAGCAGCAGCTCAGCAATGCCCAGCTGCATAGCCTGGCTGCCGTCCAGCAGGTGAGAGGTCAGCAGCCAGCTGGCCTAAGAGGGAGGGGATAGGCGCTACAGGTGGGTAGGGGCATACTGCATCCTCCACTAAGTCTGGCTAGAAACATTCTCCTGTCCTCCTGTAGGAATGTGCCTCCTGTCCTCCTGTAGGAAGATTAATGGATCTTAGCTTCTGGGGTTGCAGTAAGAACTGTGGGAGAACTTCCTTTTGGAGGTAGACTGGCTATGTCTAGACCCACACTGTGGAATTCGGTAGCCACTGGCCACGTGGTGCTATTGAGTATTTGAAATGCGGCCTGTCCCAATTGAGATGTGCAGTAAGATTTGGATTTCAAAGACTTGGCAAGAAAAAAAAGTAAAATATCTCAGTAGTTTGTTTATGTTGGTTACACATTGAAACGAGGCTTAAAATACATTATTGGAATGTTCCCCTGTTTCTTTTCCCTTTTAAAAAATCTGCGTATTAGAAAATTATATATGTGGCTCATATTATATTTGTATTGGACAGCTCTGGGTTAGTTTTATCAGTTACTCATGATGTGACCTGACCAAAGGTTCTTGCATCTAAAAGAAAGTGAGAAGAGGAGGACAGGTTGCCTGCCTGCCCAAGGGGGTTCTGTGGGAGTCACTGCATAGTTAGCATATGTGGTAAGGTGAGATTGTTGGCACAGTGGATATACTTTTCTTTGCTTCATAAGAGTCTGTTGGTTCTTACCTGAAATCTTCATTACTTTTCGTGCCTCTGATTTATTGCTGGCAGATTCAGAGCCTTTTTCTTCGTTGTCTCCGCTCTTTCTTATTTCCTTTTCTCTCTCTCAGGCCACAATTGCTGCCAGTCGGCAGGCCAGCTCCCCAAACACCAGCACTGCACAGCAGCAGACCGCCACCACCCAGGCCTCAGTGAGTACTGCTTCTCCCCACTGAGAGGCTTCTCTCTCGGCATCTTTGTTTCTGGGCTAAACTTTGCGTGGCCGATCTCAGAGTGTTTACTGAGCCATCAATGGTATTTATTGCTCTTATGTAGTGAATGTTAGTAAAAGAAAAGTAACCAACTTGGATCTATGTAGGAGTCTTAACAAGGAAGTCTAAGAAAGGAGGAAGAAAATCCTGGGGAAGAAGAGGTGATAATAAAGGAAAGGGACTAATCTCTAGACCCTTCAATGAGAAGTAAAATCTGTTCTATTTGCCTTCTCAACTGTTACACTAGTGGCTAGGGACTGGTTTCTCTACTTTGGTAATACTCCACAGTAGCCAGGATGACAGTTACAGAAAGGAAAGTATTAATCATTTCCACCCCTGACTCTGTGAAAGTGAGATATTCTGTTCTTGACCATGTCACTCTGAATTTGTCAGTCACTTTCATTTCCTTTCACCTATCTTAAATCCTTAGTCTTCATTCCTTTCTATGCCACGCAGATCAATCTGGCCACCACGTCGGCCGCCCAGCTCATCAGCCGATCCCAGAGTGTGAGCTCTCCCAGTGCTACCACTTTGACCCAATCTGTGCTACTGGGGAACACCACCTCCCCACCCCTCAACCAGTCCCAGGCCCAGATGTATCTACGGGTAAGCCACAGACACAACTGCCATTGTCCCACGGGCGTAACTGTTCTGTCCCTGGCTAGGACTTGAGTGAGAGCTATTTTATTTAACCATAGTTACCCAGCTGTTTTAAGACAAGCCCATCTCCTTCCTATACCTTACTTACCTCTAGAAGTAACACTCACTATTCACAGGTAGCCTGCAGATTACATTGAGATCGTAAATTAAAAGTGTTCACCTTAACATTTGACTAAATTAACATCAGATAGTCTAATCTTTAAACCTAATTCTAAGTGTTAGCTCTTAGCCTATCTACTTACTTAACATAAATACTTGTTCTAAGATTCTCATTGTCTCAACTTCTTTGATGTGTGACTCTTTGTTATCCATCTCTAGTTTATACACATTCTAGGTTTTCTTCTGGATGATTCATCACATATGGAAAACAAAGGGTCTCCTGGGTTGGTGTGGAAAGGGGCAGGGCTTACTATTTCATATCTTCTGTTTATTTTGTCTTGTGGTCCTTCCCTTCCGTTTCTTCTGTCTTCTTTTCCTCTGGCTCTCTTTCCTCTGCTCTTCTTCCTCCTCTCCTTGCCAGCCACAGCTGGGAAACCTATTGCAGGTAAACCGGACCCTGGGCCGGAATGTGCCTCTAGCCTCCCAACTCATCCTGATGCCTAACGGGGCAGTGGCTGCAGTCCAGCAGGAGGTGCCATCTGCTCAGTCTCCAGGAGTTCATACAGATGCAGATCAGGTCAGTGGCAACCATTGACCTGTGGATGGGCACTGGGGAGGATGAAGGGAACGACCACAGACTAAGGCCCACCCTTATATCCCATTGCCACTTTTCAGAATTCTTACTTTCTTTTTCTTTTTTTTTTTTTTTTGATCCTTAATTTCTGTAGGACTTGAATCCCACACAACTTTTGAGTTATTTGAGTTAGTAAGGGAAATAAATTTGACTGAAAACAGCCCTGTGGATCTGGAAAGCCTTATTCTTAACACAGGGCAGATTTCCTTACTATTCTTTTGCCCTCCATGGCTCAGTTTATTCAGGAAGTCTTAATTCTCTCTCCTTGCAGTACTTTCTCTGGAAGATGAGGGATGGTTGAGGGAATTGTCCTGTTATATGGATGTGAAGCTGACCTGGCTAAGTTGCTGAAAGGATGTTTGATTCCTTCTCTTTATGAGTTCCTGTAGCTCTCAACTTTTTAGCAGTCCGTTTCCGCTCGCTGTGTTCCAAGGGAAATCTTCTTCACCATTGCTCCCCATGCCTTATCCCCAATATATACATAAAGCGTTAGTGTTATATATATATTTTAAGCCTGAATTTTTGATCTTATGACTGGGATGTAAACTGGGATCTCATAATACTTACTTTATTCTTTTAGTTTATCAGTTAGCAAGAAAATATTGAACTTTCTTTCTATTGATGTGCTCAGATATATACTCGAAACTTTGGGAGATTGAAAAGAAATATGAGTCAGGTCCTTATAAAAAAAGAGCTTAGAGAACAAAGAAGTGCGAAAGTAAATGGCACTAATTTGACACGAGAAGAGTTGGCTGCAGTAATCTTCAGTGACTTTTGGGATACTTGAACAAATTCTTGGAGGATGGGGTATGACTTGATTTGGAGTAAGAAGAAAACTGGAGAGAGAAAAGTATGTGTAAAGGCATCATTTGTATATGTGTGACTCTGAGTTGGGGGTGAGTGCATAAAGTGGAGACAGCAGGCCTGATGGTAGAAAAGGTCATTGTCGGGAAAAATCTGAAAGCCAGCTAACTTCATAGGCAGCAGGGGTCGTTGCTGGCTGTTGATCAGCAGATTAATAGGAAAAGGCAAGTACTTTAGAAAGAGTCAACTAGGAACATGTAACCAGAGAGAAAAGAGAAATTAAGGAACCTACTAAAGAAACTCTTGGGGTCAGCTAGTAACAAGGTAAGACCTTTGTTTTAGACTATGCTCACATTAGGATTAGAGGATGAGGTTGAGACTGTTTCCATATCCATTTCTTTCATTTATCCATCTATTTGTTGAGTGTCAACATGTGGAGGGACAGAGTAGTGGTTGAAAGTGTGAATCTGATGTTTGGGTCAGATTCCAACTCTACAACTGACTGTGCGACCTAGGCAAATGATCTAACATCTTTTTGCCATGGTTTTTTTTTAATATATAAAACATTTATTATAAAATACATACCTCAGGGTATGTTGTGAGGACTAAATGAGTTTATATGTATAAGTGCTTGAACAGTGCCTAGAGATGATGAGTGTTTATGAGTATTAGCTAGCATTATTCTATATCAGATTATATGTATTCCTTAGCCTTGAATGCCCAAGGAAGTCACAGTGACTAGACTGATAGAGATCACAAATCATTGAAGTACCAGATATTATATAAATAATCACCTGAGTGGTTTAATAATTGTTTCATTAGGAAATACAGCATGCTCTGAAATCAGAAAAGGACTTAATTTAGCCTTGGGATGGGGGTAGAAGTCAAGGAGGGCTCTCTGAGGAGGTGACAGTTAAATTCGGGCCTGTAGAAGCTAGTCAGGTGAAGACATAGAAGGAGAGTGCTGAAGGCAGGGGAAGCTTATGTCCAAAATCTCTGAGGAGGGAAGGAGCTTTATATATTTGAGGAACTGAAAGAAGACCTGTGTTCCTGGAGTTTGGCAAAGAGGGATGGAGATGGTGCTCGAGAGGTATGTGAAACCTCATCTTGTGGGACCTTGGGCACCGTTTTTAGGATTTTGGGCTTTATGTGAAGGGCAGTGGGAAGATATGGAAGGGTTTTAAGCATGGCATGGAGTGATTTGAGGTTTTTGTTGTTGTTTGTTAATTTTAAAGATTGTTGGCTCCTCTATGGAGAATAAATGGAAATGAATAAATGGAGTATGAATGTAGGGGGAACAACACCATCATAACAGTTTATGGGAAAGATGGTGTTTGGATTAGGTGGTAGCAATAGAGATGGACAGAAGTGAATATTGAGAAAAACATAGGTCAGTGAAAAAGGAGAACAGATTCAGTGGATGGGGAGTTGAGGAAGAAGCCAGAGATAAGACCTGACACAATAGCGAGGTGGCTGGTAGTGATAATTATGAGATAAAGAATGTTGGAGAAGTGGATTTAGGGTGAAGTTCACTTTTGGATATGCAGTCCTTTCTAGCCATCCAGGAGGAGATACGGGATCAGTGGTGTTATTTATGTGGTGGAAGCTCAGAGGAGAGCTGTGTTGAGATAAACATTCAAGAGCAGTAGGCATGTTGATAATTGAAGTCTGGGGAGTGTTTGAAATTTCATAGGGAGATGGTATGGATTGAGAAGAGAAAAGCCTTTAAGATGAAGCCCTGAGGGTTAGGGAGCCCTTAGAAAATAGGGCAGTTCAAGGTCAAGTGGAGGGTAATGGACTGGCAAAGTTGAACAGGAAAGAG